ATAAACCCGCTCAAACTTTTATTATTAAAAGAAATAATATATCTACATGACAGCACATTTTTCCCACGCTTAGGAATTCTATTTGACCGAAAAATGACAACGTTATAAGAATGCTTTGAATCTTTTGATCTAGATAGGCTGACTATATGGGTTTGTGTTTCCCAAAAAGACAAAAGAAGGAAAAAAAAAAGAAAAGAAAAAGGGATGTGCCATAATTATTTCCTTTACATGCTTTACTCAAACTTAACAATAATTAAAAAAAAAAATGTAGGCAAGTTGTGACCCGTGCGAGTACGGTTGTGAAAAGGGCCCAAACCCATTTATGGTCTGTGGGCCTTAATCACATAAAAATTTAAAATAGTTTACTGTCTCAAAGGAGGGTCCACTATAAACTGTGTGGGGCGGCGCGGCAATGAATACCTCCTCATTCATCATCTCCCACTTAAATAAAAGTGAAAATTTCCCTCGTAAAAAAAAAAAATCAATCCAATCCTAAGTGATTATACCTTGTTTTATATCACCTTATTCTCAATTGTTTTAAATTTTACAAAATCTAATTATAAAAATTAATTATAGAAATCAATCACAATCATCAACAATTACTCTTTGAGTGATCATAGATTTAGCTTTTTTAATAATTATAGAAATCTATAATCAAAATATATAAATAATTAAAAACATCATCACAAAAATTAATTATTTAAAATTAAAATTTATAATCAATTAAAATAACCAATCAAAAACAAAACTATTAGTATAAGGCTGTCACGCGGATTTATGACACAGACACCATCGGTCCATCACCAACATTAACGTTAAACAATAGTAACACGTTGTATCACTGCCTGGACCCCACACCCAAAATGGTTGTGTGTTTCTTTCCTGATTTATTTTCTTCTGGTCGCTCTCTTTAAATATAGAGTAGTATTTGTTTGTTTTTTTCTTATTAATGCTGTCCAGTAAGTGATTGCTTTTTTTTTGCCCAATTTGCTTGGCGTGGGTCCCATCTAAACAAGGGACCCATCCACCACGTTTTTTTTTTTTTTTAAAGAAAAGACGAGAGAGAGAAGAGCAGGGAGAGAGGAGGGGGGGGGGGGTATGCGACAAAGAAGACTAATTTGTCTTAAATCATCTGCCGGTGTGCCCCATAATATAATGCCATGTTTGTTGGGATGTATGGTGCTCCCTAAACTACTTCCATTTTCGTTTTGTCATCATTGAGCCCTTTTGACGGGCCACCATTAATCAGCTGCAGCTACACTTCCTTGTATGTGGACTAAAGAATCCTCTCCTTATTTCTTTTTTTTTTTTTTTTTGTCGACGCAGGGGTATGCGGGTCAATCCTTACGGGGCTCGACTAATCCCCTACGGCCCGAGCCCGGCGCCCCAACCCGACCAAGGCACGATAAGTGCACAGACGTACCCATAGCGCAGTTTCGAACCCGGGACCTAAAAGTTCCAAGGGAACGCTGCTCAGTGGCGGAGCTAGGAATTGCAATTAGGGGAGCGAGTCTCTTTTATTTGGACCAAACCTAAATAACTTTCAAACATTATTGTTTGGGTCCTTGAGAGGAGGGCAAAGTGAAATTTTTTATCAATATTTTGGGGGGGCAAAACAATATAATAAAAAAATTTTACTTAGAAATTTTTTTTATAACAATTGGAGGGGGGCAAAATGAAATTTTTTATCAATATTTGGGGGGGCAAAACAATATAATAAAAATTTTTTACTTAGAATTTTTTTTTTTTTAACAATTGGAGGGGGGGCAACCGCCCCCCCTAGCCTCCCCCCTTCCCTCCGCCCCTGACGCTGCTACCATGTGACTAAACCCGTGGGGACCTCTCTCCTTATTTCTTGATGTGAGAAAATGTTGAAAGCACATTCAATTTCAAAGAAATGAGATAATGTGGTATTCTTGTGATGGAATACTACATTAATATGTGGTGTAATATACGTGGCAAAAAAAAAATTAAAAATTTGTTTAAATTACAATAAGAAGGATTTTTCTGGATAAATAATCGAAACCAACCATATGATTTTCTTCAATATATCAAAGGTGGGAAAAAAGAAGAGTCAAAAATTCACGACGATAAAAAATTTTTCTTCGATTGTTCTTCAGTATAAAAAATCATTATCACTCTTCAAGAAGACTTCAGTTTAACGGTTAAAGTTGCCACTCTAGAAATTAAAGATTGTGGACTCAAATCTCCCTCGTCCCCCTCCTCCCTTAACCGATGATCATTAGACATTCGTTAACCAAATTCACAAGTTAATACAAATAAAATCAAATGTTCTAATTGCTAGCATAGTTGATTAGATTTTACTCTTCTTTTTCATTTTCTTCGTACCAAACTCTCTAACAACTAAAAATGGTGGGTTAAATGAATGTGGAAAAAGAACTAAAAAGTGCAAATAGTTCCAAGTGCTTTTTGTAGCAGAAAGTAAAAAAATCCAATCGAGGCCCACGATAATTATGCATTCCACCTTTTTTTCTATCCCTAGGCTCAGGCAACTACGCCTGACGTGCCAATAATAAAATCTCTTCTTTTTCTCCCTTTGGGTGCTGACGGCGGTGGGGCTAAAGGCTAAAGCCGAAGGATTCATTTCACTGCTAAATTAAGCAGAATGAGTGACAGAATCATTCAGTGTCATAATCACTCATAAATTCCCATGTTTCTTCAACTGAGCCAGGCATGATTAGGCAGACCAAGTTATCAAGTTCACAAGAATACGTATATGTGTATATATAGTAGGAGCCTTGGCATACCATTCATTCATTTATTTACTGCTGTCACCATTAACACTACAAGCCTGCAAGATGCGGGCTCTTTTCTTCCCAAGTGTATATTGCTCCGGTTGTTTACAATCAGAGGTAGTGAACATCTCAGGTTAGGAAGAAAGTGGTGACCAAGTTTCCTAAAAGGGCTTTTTTTTTGCAGATGTAACCAATCCCAGGTAGCAGAAGTGGAAGCTATAAGACCGCTCGAGCTATCCCGTAGGGGCACGTTTTAAGATTATCTGAATCCAACAAGTAAACTGGTCTTGGAAGTCTAAAGTCTGGCGTTAGTAGAGGCCAGTGGTTGTTTAAGATTATCTGAAATCAACGAATCTTTTCTTCTTCTTTTTTTTTCCCCCTTTAGATACTACTGTTGAATTGCTAAATCCAACTGCCACATGATCTCATTTATTTTTGCCTTAAGCCTTAATCAATTGTTCATTAGCCGAACACGCTTCCCGAGGCTAACAACAGCTTTATTCGATTCAATTAAGCAGGAGTCTTCTCGCTTAATTAGATTATTCCAAGCCTCTGATAAAGCTGTTTTCAAAACATTTATCAAGATTAAGCTTAATTAATGATTAAGTCATGGCACAACTTTTAATAAGATAAACATGCATAAATGCTTTAATCTCGAAAGTCCTTCACATCTTTGATTAACTTTTTTGTTTGTTGAAATTATTGGTTTTAGGTTATGAAATTAATCTTATGTCCTTGTTTATGTTGCGAAAGTCCTTGATCCTAAGCGACCTCATTCTATTATTTTACTAGCTAGTTCACTTGTTGGGACCCATGCGAAAATGCCAGATATGACTTTGTTCACAAGTGGAAAAGGCACTCCCTCCACATATGACTAAATAATAGAATTTTTAAAGTTTGGTATTCTTGAGGCAAGACGTGCCGTACCAATGTTATACGTAAATTTTGTGGTCCAATTATAGATTTGTAGAATAGCTTATGGCTGGCATACAAATTGAAACTAACTCCTTATATTTTTAACCACATGCTTATCTCATACACGTAATGCCCCAAAAATTATCGCAATAATATTTTTCCCCTAAAATTGCTTCCGAAAACCACAATCTAGAAGGAGACATCTCACAAGAATTTTTATTTTTGTTCTCTCAAGAAATTAGTTGTTTTAGCTAATACTCCCTCTGTCCTATTAAAGTGTCATATTTTTCATTTTGAGACGTTTCAAAATGTTTATTATTTTATCAGGTCAAATTTACTTTTGATCTCTTTTATCAATATTACCTGCACCTTTATCTCTATTTTATAGTAAATTCAAATTTAAAATTTAAAATTTTTAGGGCAATTTTGAAAATATATTTTCTAATATTACCATCAAACCATAGTACTCAAAATCACGCAATGTGACAAAAGAATTTGAGATGGAGGGGGTATAACTTAGCAATTTTACAACCAACACGCATGATTCGATAGAGAAAAGAAAACTTGGAGAATATGTTGATGCCTGTTTTTGATATCCGGTTACATATTACCTGTCAGGAAATATGACAAATGATATGACTAAATGTGCATGATGAAATATGACAAGCCAGGAAATATGACAAGCCAGGAAATATGGCCGTTTGGATTGTATTTTTCATTATTTTTGTTGAAAAAATTACTATAACGATTTGATGTAAAAAAAAATAATAAAAAAATATGATCACGAAAAACGATACAAAATTTTTTTTTTTGACAGAAAATGATAATCTATCCTGCTCTTATTATTCCCTATTATTATTCCTAAATCCTAAGACTTCTTTTCCCAGAAAGGATATACGTAATTCAGATGTAATCGAAAGTAACCTGCCTCAATCCCACAAACAAACATGTGTCGTAATATTGTAGACTTTTACTAACCTAGGAATACTGCGTCTGTCTAATCTCGCCTGATCCACCCCCAAAAAAAAAAACGAAAGCGGGATAACAGTTGTACTGTTTTGGATCAAATGCCGACCATGGAATCAAACCTTGCATGCCCAAGTTGTTTGACTCTGATCGCCTCTTTTGATCAGCTGTGCATCGGAAGGAGACCGTCAACGTTCAAACTGGGAAATAGCTCAAAACAGTCAAAATTACGGTACACGTGGATGTATTAATCCTGTGGTGGTGCCCGTGCCCGTGCCCGTATTTGCTCATCCATTTTTCAAGTCAATAATATAACACTCCTGTCTCAACTCTCTATATAAACAACTCCTGTTTCTCCTTCCTACCGCATGTGCTCTTCCTCATCATCCACCATTTGATAAGTTGAGTCTCTCTTTTTCTTTCATTCTTTCTCTGGTGGAATATTGAGAAATATCGAGTTTTTAAAATAGGGTTCCTTGTCATACATCAAGGAGAGAAGCATATAGGCATTTAAGTAAAGTTTGAAGGTACGTAGCCAATCATGGTGGCCGGAGGGATGTCAGTGGGCGGAGGGAAGGAGTTCGAGGCCAAGATTACTCCTGTTGTTGTCATCTCGTGCATTTTGGCCGCCACCGGAGGTCTCATGTTCGGTTATGATGTTGGAATTTCAGGTTTGTATTTATACTACTTTATTCTTATGAATATTGCTTTTCATTTGTCTCCTGCTTCTTGTCCTTTCTCCTTCAAGCAAACTTCTTGATTCTCCTTCACAGAATCAAGTGCTTTTTTGTTTTTTGTTTTTGTTGTGGATTAAGTACTACATGTTTAAATAGGCTTGTTATGATTGATAATGTTCCATAAAGCACAAGAACTTCGATTAGTAGTACAATATGACAATCTTATTACAACTTTAAAAGTTGGTTCCATTCCAAACTTCCTCTAGCTTGTGTTAATGTTAGAATGCCAAAAGGTTGGTACTCGGGTAAACTAATTATGGAAACTTGGTTATACTAGCACAGTCGTAGCGGATTAAAAGGCTAATTCTCGTACTAATACATAACATCAAGAGGAATATTTAATCAGACTATATATATATATCTGCACAGAGATTAATTAGAGCAGGGTAAACAGAAAAAAAAAAAAATATGATGGAAGAATATTTAGGAATCAAACGTAATAAAAGACGTTTGTATATGATAAACAAGAAGTTATCTTAAACATGTGCTGTGGCTCCCAGCAAGTTGATTCGAAAATACTCCACAAGCGAACTAATAAAGATGATCATGATTCATGGGATATGTCAATTTCTTCTCATCTTTTTTCTCATAATGCTCTTGCTCTTAAGTCCCTTCTTGCACCCTTTTTTCCACATCACGTGTTTGGGGTAGTTGAGTTGGTTCCTCCTCTTCAACCGTGACGGCCATTTGTCTAATTGCAGGCGGAGTAACATCAATGAAACCGTTCCTGAAAAAATTCTTCCCAGTGGTGTACCGTCGGACTCAGGACGACGGATTGAACAGTAACTACTGCAAATATGATAACCAAGGCCTCCAACTGTTCACCTCGTCCTTGTATCTGGCTGGTTTAACGGCTACCTTTTTTGCCTCATACACCACAAGAAAGCTCGGTCGAAAGGTTACCATGTTGATTGCAGGATGTTTCTTCATTTGTGGAGTGACCCTAAATGCTGCAGCACAGGATCTAGCTATGCTTATTATGGGCAGAATTTTACTTGGATGTGGAGTTGGTTTTGCTAATCAGGTACTCTACTGAACTTTCTATTTTTCTTGGGAGATTAATTTTGGGATTTCCAAACTGTCTCCTTTGTTATGGCATGAGGGCGTGTGCCAGTTTTTGGTATACTGAATTTTGGACGGTGAGATTTGAGAGGCTCCTTGTGGGAATGTATTTTTGGGCAAAACAGCACTCCACGTTTAGGCTTGTTCCTCTACAGTTCATTTTGCCCCATATTTGTCTCCTTTGCGTACATTCTAATGAGAAGTCATATCTTATGCAACCTTTGAAAAAAGAAAAAAAGGTCTCATACCTTTTGTACTTTTTTAGGATGCAAAATTCAAATATCTTTTTTTGGATTGCCATTTTTTTGAGAAAATATAATTTGTGATTTTTTGAGAATATTTCTTTCACACATTTCTCGATTATCTTTCGTTTCATATGCATCACATCCTAAAAAAAATGTTGCAATAATTTTTTCCGAAATATTTTTCTTGAAAATGCGCTCCAAACAACCTTTTGTTAGTTGCCTCGTGGGTCATGAAGCCTGACTGGTGTGTCTTCTGCATACAAGAGCCCCAGATACTATAAATATTCTCCAAGAAAACTAACTGAGGAGACGTGTTTCTTTGAATTATTGGAGATTCAAGATGCTGAAAGATCTTTTTGTCCCCTTCAATCTTCCCCTTTTTTCTTTCCTTTTTTTTTTTTTAAAAAAAAAAATGAACTGTATTCTGTCTGACACTTGTTTGTTTTTATATACAATTATATATGTGATTGAGACTTCTTTTTGAACCTACGCAAAAGATAAAATAAAGAACTCTTTAGTCAAGCTTTTTGCCTATCTTTTGATATCTTTCCAAAGAGCCCTCCATCTTGGAAGTTTCCCATTTTCCATCAATCTTGCTTTTCCAGAAATCGATCCCCTTTTAGTCCACAGTCAACACCCCATCCCAATCCACCGTGCTCTGCAAATTTACTTTTATTCTTGGCAATGATCAGGTTCAAGGGACATGAATCTTGAAAGCTTTGATGCTGCTCTTCTTGAATCATTATCCTTAATTTGGTGAAGAAGGAAGCCCAGTTGATGTTACTTTAGATAACATATACCAGTCAAAACATTTTTCTCACCCAAAAAAAAAAAAAAAAAGAAATAACATATTCCATGCATGAAGACGTGTGCATTATGTATCTAACCCTTTATTACATGCGTGTGAATTTATGTTTGCTTTCTGTCACTTTCATAGGAATCAATTGTGTTGGTCATAGTCCGTTCATTGTCCATCTATTCAATTCATCACCAAAATTAGGATAAGATTTTTTTTTTTTTTTAAATTTTTGGCTTCACATAAATGACATAAAAAAAATATGTTTTCTTCTTTGTTTTGGTTAAAAACAAATTATACATGCACTTGCAGCCGAAAAAGATGTCTAAAAAATTTCAATTTCCTACGTATATTCTAGAGCCATGTGCATGGAGTAAAAATTTACAAGCTCGAAATTCCTTTAACTAAAATTTTACCTAAGGCATAGTATATGGTATGGTAGAAGATTGACATGCCTTATCTTATGTAAACTGGCGGTCAGGCTGTTCCGCTGTTCTTGTCGGAGATCGCACCCACCAGAATCCGTGGAGCACTCAACATTTTATTCCAGCTCATGGTCACCATTGGCATCCTTTTCGCCAACCTTGTCAACTACGGAACAGCAAAGTAAGGCCTCTCTCTTTATTCTATTCCTACGTTTTTCCATTTCTTTAAGCGTTTCTATTTCATATTATTCTTTCTTTCTTGGCATTTGTGATCAATATGATGTGCAGCGTTTTTTTCCAACTCAAATCGCTTTCAACTTGATTGAACTTTGAATTGTGACAAATTACACTTGCCAAAATAAAGCTAATAAAAAAACACTTTTGGTTGGTTGACCGCATTATGCTATCCAAGTGTCCGATTCTTTAGTATTGAGGTAGTTTTTATTTTTTCTACCTTTTTTGTCAGAGATACACAAACGGTTACCTAAGGTAACTCCACGGTTACCTTTTTTCTACCTTTAGCATTGAGGTAGTTGCTTGTGTAATATTTTGCTCCCCTTTGACCTACCTATCACGGATAAATGTGTTATAATCCTAGTAATTAATACTTGCTTGATCAACTGAATGCGTGTTATATTAAGTAGGGAAAGGTTGGTTCGGATGGTAAGATAGGAAAAAAGTTTTGTAAAAATTAAAAGCGTTTTGTTCTACAGCATTTTCTCTTGGAAAGAAATTATTGTGTCGTAGCAGCTTTTTACCTAATCAAGGATTAGTTCACGATTAGGTTGATTTGTCAATCGTTGTAGGTTGTACACGTTGATCAATAATTGATTGCCAAGAACGGAAACTCCAGCGCAATAAAATATTTCAATCCCAACTCCCAAAGTCCCACTTCATGCGATTTTGTAGACAAATTGAAGACTAACGACCTAACAACACTGAACCAATATTATGGAGTTATTCTCTGGGACCATATTGTTCAGTCTATGATTGGTCCCCATTTTGAACACATGAAAGCCCTCAAGATAACGACCCATCTGCGGTCAGAAACGATCCAATCATGCAGGACAGATATGCATTTCCATCGGCATTGACTGTGATGTTTGTCCCCAAGAAAAATGAAAATGAAAATGTGTTTTTTTTTTTTGGTGACAATTTTCATCATGTATTGAACTAATTTTTTGGGTTTTTTCTATTTAATTTCTGATGCATGAGGAGAAGTTTTTTCCCCTTACAATTCTTGTAAACAACCTAATAGTCAAATATTTTTCCGCTTCATGATTTTTTTGGCTGTTGTTTAGCTAAGCAAGATTTTGTTTTCTTTATGAAATTACAGAATCAAAGGAGGATGGGGTTGGAGACTTTCACTTGGATTGGCTGGAATCCCAGCAGGGCTTCTAACCTTAGGGGCCCTTATTGTGGTTGACACGCCTAACAGTCTGATTGAGCGCGGTCGCTTGGAGGAAGGAAAAGCAGTGCTTAGAAAGATCCGAGGCACTGATAATATTGAGCCAGAGTATGAAGAACTTTTAGAAGCCAGCCGTGTGGCCAAACAAGTGAAACACCCTTTCAGGAATCTCCTCATGCGAAGGAATAGGCCTCAGCTGGTCATTGCAGTTGCGTTACAGGTTAGATTGCATCTCAACTTTAGTACAATGCCAAGTTGATGCGTGCTGGAAATGAAAATTTAAATCTGACCCTCGATTTGTTGTGACCCTATTGCTACAGATCTTCCAACAGTTTACAGGAATCAATGCGATCATGTTTTATGCACCAGTTCTGTTTAACACAGTAGGGTTTGGAGGCAATGCATCCCTGTATTCTGCTGTTATCACCGGAGCTGTTAACGTTCTTTCCACCCTCGTGTCTATCTACTCTGTCGACAAAGTTGGCCGAAGAATGCTCTTGCTAGAAGCTGGTGTGCAGATGTTCATATCCCAAGTTGTGATTGCCATCATTTTGGGGATCAAGGTTAAGGATCATTCTGAAAGCCTTAGCCACGGATGGGCCATTTTTGTGGTCATCCTTGTTTGCACATTTGTGTCTTCTTTCGCATGGTCTTGGGGACCTTTAGGATGGTTAATCCCGAGTGAAACATTCCCTCTCGAGACAAGATCAGCAGGGCAGAGCGTTACGGTTTGTGTGAACTTGCTCTTCACTTTTGTGATTGCACAAGCCTTTCTTTCAATGCTGTGCCATTTCAAGTTTGGGATCTTCCTCTTCTTCTCCGGCTGGGTTTTGATCATGTCCCTCTTTGTGTTTTTCCTCCTCCCTGAAACAAAAAATGTGCCCATTGAAGAAATGACTGAAAGAGTTTGGAAGCAACACTGGCTCTGGAAGAATTTTATGGATGATGTCCATCCTGGTGAAGGAAATCTAGAAGGAGGCACCAAGAAGAATGGGCATTCTAATGGATTTGATCCTTCATCACGGTTGTAAAAAAAGGCGGCCAAGTTTTTGCCGAATATTTGGATCTCATACTCTATGTTGACACCATTAGACGGTCAATGAACCGTAGTTTAGCTATAGATATGTGCTTGTGCAATTTGTGTTTGAATTGGTCCAAGCTCTAATATACGTAATATGCTTGCCGATTCGAAATTATTATTGTCCAAAACGTAGTGTGGTGGAACTTAGCAACAATAGTTTATTTCGATCTACTTATGATTTATGCATCAGAAATGAATTGTTATGGGGTTAACGACACCATTTTATTTATCAGCAGAGTAGTGAATTCAAGGAATGGGTAAGCTAACGTGCAAAAGCGCCTTGTAGGGAAGTTAAATTTGCTGTGACTATAAGAAGGTTACTTCTGTCTCGGGATGAAGGGCTCTTGAGCTTCAGTATGCTAATCACATGCTGAAATACTCTACATGCTGTGTTTTTTGAAAAACAATTTATTTAGGGTATTAACTTGTTTGGAACTTGAAAATTCTTCTACTTGATTACATACAATTTCGATTTGATACACAATCGCTTTTACTTCTCTTCAGTTGATGATGTTAGATGATCAAGGCACGTCATACTCGTTTAACTCTATGCAGGAATCAAAATTGTTTGCATTTCTATGATGTTAGATGATGTCTTTATGAATTCTTCACCACATCAACAGACAATTAGCATTAACAAGTTTGTCATCATAGCAACCACATAATAAGTTTATTTGTTAAAATGAATTTATAATGATTCATTTTTACTTCACTGTTACGACAGATGCATCTTTACACAAGCAGGCTTAGAATGTGTAAATCTGCTAATTAAAAAACCAAAAAAAAAGTGAAAAGAATTCTGAACCATTCACCAAAGGCTGGTGGCCACCGTCAAGCCTTTAAGGTTCGGTGGGGGTGGGAGGCACCCATCAATTGCCGCATTAAATGTGTATTTGCTTTAAAGAATTCAGGCGCATCCGTAGTGCACCCGTTTGGTCCGGTAGTGATTCAGTCTCCTTCAAATCACCTTTGAACCTCTTTAGATCCACCTCCTCCCCCTAGTGTGCAGGATAGATTAGGATATACTACAGTTATCGTCTTCGGAAAAAAAAAAAAATCCTTAGCGTGTAGGATAGATTAGGATATACTACAGTTGTCGTCATCTCCGGAAAAAAAAGAAAAAGAAAAAGTAAGTCCTTGAGTAATCAAACAGATTACAAAGAGCACTGTCTCGAGCGTTTTTGGCTGCTTGAGTGCAAGGGAAACATAGATCTCCCATGTACAAAGCGATACTCTAACTGAATGTCATCATGGCATTCCTACAAATCCATGTACTATGTTACAGGCAAAATAGAATTCATGATCCACCACCTAACAACATTAACAAAGCCTCCACCATGCAATCCTTTCCTTTAAAGTTTTTCAAACATGGTTCAGAAATCATACATGTTCTGCAGTGCCAACAGCTTGATGTTAGATGTCTACCCACATCCTTCTCTGTTGTTCATGTGTTGTAATATAATAATAATCAGTCTTAAACTACATTTCAGAAATTGTTCCTATTTCCTTGTCCTAGTGGTGAGAACTGTGTGGGAGTCAAAATCTAAACGAAAAAGCACGATAAATGCACCGCCCCATACAACAATCTGCTCCTGAAATATGAACATGGCCGAAGACGATTTCTATATTGTATTCTTGCGATTCCTTCGTCAAGTTATAAGCATCGTACTTAGATCCGTTTACGTTGTACCATCTCATATTTTAGTCATTATGCGGGACTCAAACTTAGAAATACCTGCCACAGACATTTAGCAATAATATATGTCCAAATTAAATCTTTAATTAGTAGAAAACTAGTTTTGCACGGTTTACTTGGGACTTTAATAAATTGCATGTTAAGATTCGAATAGGTTTCCGAAGGTTGGACTCTTCTTGCTTGGAAGAAGAAGGCAATTTGTCATGCCTTCTCCACCTGCTTTTCCTTAGCATGTTTTTTTTTTTTTTTTTTCCAAAAGAAATAAAGCATCTTCTCTTCTTCTTTGTAAGCAATAATTGAATTTTCAAAAAATAAAGATTTACTTGATAAGAACCTTGTTCATAACATCCAATAATTTAAGTTGAAATTTAATCACTTGTCTATCCATTAGCCCCAAAAGAAAAGCATTATGATACTACACTAACTTTTGCAAAATTCAAGGGAGAAAAGGTCGGAAAAAATCTTTTGTCATTTTCTTAGAAAGTAGTCGCTGGTTGTTGGATTTATTAATGTCTACCCAATTTGTGTTTCAAGGGTCAGTCACAATCAACAGAAGGGCCCAATTTGATGGCTCCGAATTCAATTTCACACTGCAAAAGAGAAAAGGATCAGTTAAATGGTCATAGGCTCATAGCCCAATTATATATGCCCCAACTCCCAACTGAAAAGACACCACAAAGTATTCCGCTCTTTCTTCAGTTACCATATACTTCAAAAGTACAGCTTAGGCCGACCTTTCGAATTACAAGGCTAATCAAAATTCATAGAGATTTCTGCAAACTCAGCTATCCCATCAAGTATTTTGCTCAAATTCAATGGCTTTTGCGGCGGGAAACTATAGGGTTCTAGCAGTGGTGTTGTTGGTTCTTTCTGCTTCTTTCCAGGTTTCAGTTGGAGCTGTTTACAAGGTTGGAGACTCTGCAGGCTGGACTACAATTGGCAATGTTGATTACAAGCAATGGGCTGCTACTAAAAACTTTCGAGTTGGTGATGTTATTCGTATGTACTCTTCTTCTTTCACTCCATCTTTCTTTATTCTTTGATATTTCTCTGTTTTTTTTTTCCAAGCAGATGATGTTGCTTTCTTCCTCTGTAGATGATGGTTCTTGTGTCTGTTTTATATCTAAATTATGATAGATTTTTTGAAGCACGTCTATATCAGACTGTGGCATTCATTTCTGTCTTTGGTCGGAAAATCAGAGATAAATCTTTCTTGAAGAGCTACCTATCAGATGGGCTCAGTAGTTAAAGGCGTTTGGAAATTGAGAGATGAATCTTTCATGAAGAATTATCCATCAACTGGCTCACAGTTAAGGCTTTTGGAAATTCAAAAATGAATCTTTCATGAAGAATTATCCACCAAACTGGTTCACAGTTAACACGTTTGGAAATCCAAAAATGAATCTTTCATGGAGTATTATCCATCAAACTGGCTTGTAGTTAAGGTCTTTGGAAATTCAAAAATGAATCTTTCAGGAAGAATTTTCCATCAAACCGGCTCATAGTTAAAGGCGTTTGTGCCTTATCTTAAAACGATTGCTACTTTTATGATTTTCTCCTTTATAAGTGTTTCACTCCTTGCTTTCCAGTTCCCAGTTCCCAGTTCCCGCCCCTCCCTTTCTAAAACCTATTTACTTTAGAAAAAGATTCGTTTTTTATGACTTAAATGAGTAAAGAAAGGGGAAAAAGAAGCTCATTTTCCATTTGTCCTCACAACTGTAGTTTAGTTTCAGGTGACCTTTCGGAACAGAAAAACCCAAAGCATCTGTCAACATTGTGGGGATGTCCAGGTTTTAGGGAACCTTAGTTGGTATTTGGTCCCTGATCAATATAAAGAGATTAGTACCCTGTTCCTTTTTTTCGCCTCTTTTTAACTAGTACTACTTTAGCATTTAGCCATCCTCCTAGCACTATAGGTCTGTGATAGTGGGTCTCACACGCGCTGGACCTTCATTGGGATGACATCATTTTGCAAACAAAATGTAGGACTTTGTTTCTGTCAAACAATCTATGGGGGTGACAAGTGGGATAATAGTGCCTTGTGGAAGTTGTATAGTGGCCCCTAATGAATGAATACTGGGGATGTTATATTGAGGTAGCCCACATTCTTGAATAATGCACGCCTTAATGATCATGCCAACTCCCTTTGCTTTCATGCACAAAAAGATAGCCACCCCACCCCCTACAGGATTGTAGTTAATTGGCAACCCACTTTTACGACTGATGATATTGCTTAAAGTTGGTTTACTTGGACATGAGGTTTTTTCCAGCTAATTCATGGAAGCTTCAAGACTACTGCTTCTTGAAGTTTGGTGTGTTGGAGTTAGGTTACTGTAGGGAGGCTATTTTAACGTGTGTGCCAGAACCAGCAAACTTGGAGGTAGGTAATTTCTTGCCTGGCTACAAATATGTCTAGCAATTTGAAACTCTTTTGTCACGCTCGCTTAAGATTTGATAAATCTTGGGCCCTTCATCTACCTAGCGCAAAAAGAATTTTTCCACCCCCTTCAATCCAGACAAGCAGTACATCTTTACACCAGTAAAAGAACCAGTAGGATTGCCTGGTATATACTGAGATGATTGACATGGATAAGTGAGTTAAAGAGACAGTAAAAGCCCTCTAGTTCAATACTCCAATGACGAGAGTTTTGAATGTATCAGAGAAGAATAAACAACCACCAGGGATTAATTCAAAATCGTATGTCATGTCTCATTTCTAGTATAGCATTTCTTAGTGCTGTCAAAGGGATTTAGTAAGCCAAAAATCTTTAATTAACACAAGTTAATGTATCACTATCGCCTGCCCAAATTTAGCCACAATATGTGTTTCTTTCTTTCCTTGGTTGAGAATCCTGATAAGTCCTTACTGATTATTCCGCTGCTGCTAGGAATGCCATTCATAGTTGTTTTAGTGCCTGCTTACTCTTCTGCTCTTTTCCTCATATAGTGTTTGTACATTAACAGTGCCACCTCAATCAGAATGACTCTGTTCTGCATTCTGTTGTATCAGTTTTCGTGTACAATCCCCAGTTTCACAATGTGATGCAAGTAACACATACTGAGTATCAGGCATGCAATGCCTCATCCCCTATTGCAACTCACACAACAGGCAATGATACAATAACAATTACTACTCATGGTCACCACCTCTTTCTGTGTGGTGTACCTGGTCACTGCCAATCTGGACAGAAGGTCGATATCAACGTTATCCGAACTGCACTGGCTCCTACTCCATCAGCGACACCATCTCCTCCTCCTGTGCAAACGCCAGCACCAGCTCCAAATGCTGCTTCTCCGCTTTACAATTCAAATAGGCTCGTCAGAGACCTTGGCACAGCTATAGCTGTTGCTATGAATATACTTTGTGGTTTTATTTGATAATAGCAGGATTTTGAGCTTAGTCTACAAGCTCTTGACATGGAGAAGCACATATTTTCAAAAGAATATCCATATGAAGCCTATATATCTCGTGTATCTCGAGTCAAATAATTGTACCAGTCAGTACTAGTTTTCTTCTTATGTAAGTATATATGCAGCACTTTCTTGACATTTAGAGAAAAAGAGTCCATCCCAGATACCTCTGTCTTGATGGAAATCTTCAAGTTAGTCTGAATTGCACCCCAGTAGTTGTCCATTGCTTTCACATGCATTTCAAGAAAAATATTGTATCCAAAAATATTACGCTTAAAGCACAAAGAAAAGCTTCATAAAGCTCAAGGCTTTGGTGGATAGCTTATACTTTTCTTGGAGGACATAATGAACTTGTGATTGTGGTTTTCAAAGAGAAACCAGAAGCTTAAAGAGTCGAGGCAATGTGTACAAATGATGGAATTGCTCCATCAGCAAGCACTGTAATCCTAAAAATTCTCACAAAGACATTCCATACAAAAATAAATTTGCATCAAATTCTCGAGCTTCCAGCCAGAATAAAGTGATAAATGCAATTAAAAATGTAGGGAATGGGAAGATGACTACAGTCTCCTACATGTACGCAAATGTTTCAAGTCATCTCAAAATGTCTTGTAATTTCTTTGCCCATAAATTACTTCCAAACAGGATGTTTTTTCCAAACCCTGTCGATCATGACATCAATCGGCACACCCTTAGTCTCTGGCAATAAAAATGCAGCAAACAAACCCATTATGAATACCCAGGCTGCGAAGAAGATGAAAATGAAGGCACGCATTTTGCACAACATCGATAAGTACAACTCCGCTACGAGGAAGGTGAAGAGCATGTTGGAGCTGACAGCAAATGCAAATCCCGCAGTCCGAGTCTCCAAGGGGAATGTTTCACTCGGAATCAACCAACCAAGAGGTCCCCAAGACCAAGCTAAGCTCATGACAAACAAACAGACGAGGACCAAAACAAGAATAGCAAGTCCTTTGTTAAGTGAACCGGTGGTTTTTAAATGTACATGTAGAATGATACCAACTGCCATCTGCATGGATTTTGACAATTACAATTAACAATAGTGCCACAGGTCGTTGTTTAGCCTGGCAGCATATTGAAAGACAATATTATTGTAGTCATGAACTATCAAATTATATGTTTGGGATGTACGTTTTTTTTTTTCGAGCGTCCAACCTTACCTGGCATATGAACACCTGAATACAACCCTGAAGAAGCAATTTTCTTCTACCAAGCCGATCCACTAAAAAGATTGACACGAAAGTACTTAAAACATTAACAAGCCCTGTGATCACAGCGGACAGCAGGGATCCATTGCTCTTGATTCCAACCGTTTGAAATAAGATAGGAGCATAAAACATAATAGCATTACCCCCAGTTAATTGCTGAAATACTTGCATCAGCACACCGATTATTAGTGGAGGCATGCTTGAGAGCTTTAGGAGTTTTTTGAATCGATGCTTGACCTGATGTGCCATCTCACAAGCAATTTTGATCTGTTCAAATTCTGCCACAACATCTTCGACACCTCTAATTAATCTTCTTCAGGGCTTCGATGCCCTTTTCTTCTTTGCCACGTTCAACTAGGCTTGATGGCGTTTCAGTAATGACTATAGAACCGATGAAAAGAAGGATTGCTGGAGCACCTGCTAATCCTAAAGATATCCTCCATCCATTTGGATGCACAGATTGTGTCCCATAGTTAACAAGATTAGCAAGAAGGATACCAATTTTCGTACATAACTGGAACAGAACATTGACAGCTCCACGAAGTTGAACGGGAGCAACCTCAGACAAGAACAAAGGAACTGACTGCAATGTTACGGATCAGAAGAGGCAATGACATAATTAAGAACCAATTAATTGACTGAGCACCAAAGTAGCTTTAATTACCTCATTACCAAATCCAACTCCAATTCCAAACAGAATCCTTCCAACTATTAACATAGCCTTATTCACCGCAGTGGCACTTATGATAGCTCGAAATATAAAAAAAGCAGAAGCCATCAAAATAGTTGGCCTCCGTCCAAGTATTGAACATGCCTTCGATGCACCAAAACTTGCAACAAGTGCAGCAAGATACAAGGAAGAAGTGAAAAGTTGAAGAAGCTGATTATCAAATTTGCAATAGTTGTTTTCCTTTGCACGCAATTTCCTCTCGTAAACATCAGGAAAGAACTTTATCAAGAAATCATCCATGGAAGTCACTATCAACAAAGACTTTAGCTCAATTGACTATCTTCCATAGCTACGAGTCATGCCTCTATCTCTATGCTGAAGAATATAGCATGCATCAGTTGCCTATTGAAATAAAAGGCTTGTAAAACATGTACAATTGTTCATAAAGAAGTGAAATGCTGGTAACTATGAAGGGTATCAGTTAACTTAAAAGCCATTTAATTTCTTGAAGTTCTATCTCCAATCCATCCGCTACCATAACTAAGCAAATTAAAATGCTACTAACAAGTGCCACTAGGCTTGTTGTCTACTTGTCTAATCTCTATTCCATTTGGTAAGAAAGAAAAACGATGTGAGATAGTTAACCTGAGATCCCAACATCGTAGCCAAACATTAGTCCACCAAAGGCTGAAAGAATCCAACAAATTAGCATGTAGGCCGTAATCTTTGATTGAAAATACTGCTGGGGAGGGTCGGTCGAGCCTGTCATATTTGTTTTGGACAAAGTTCATACCATAAAAATTTGCTGTGGACAAATCACAAAACTAAAGAGTTGCTTTAAAAGAGATACAATCTATGTATATCTCTAGGATAGATAAAGGTTTGAACATAAACATCAGGTTTTTCTTGCAAGTTTCTTTCCTGTGTGACTTATAACGTTTAAATTCCTGATACTTAAATTCTTGCTAATATTAATAGTGATGTAAGTTTCGAGTCTTAAGGAGTCTTTTGATGTCGGAAGAGTTTTATGTAAGAGGAAGGATGAGAGAGCACTTTGATCCATAGTTGTCGAAGAAATGTGGGCTGATTTTAGCATGAATTTTGGGCAAGTGATAATTGAAGATTTTTTGGCGTTGGATGGTATTTGACCACCATTGAAACAATACCTTGTCCCTTAAGCTTGAACAAGCTTAGATAAGGCCAGCCATGCAGGAAATAGCTTGGACAAACTAGCCTGTGTGAAGCGAAAGGAAAGGATCGAATATGCATTTGTGGCAATCACCAACCAAATTAGCCGTATTTAGGTACATGAGATCTTTATCTTGTCCGAACTGTTTACCAAGTATGCGTTTACTGTCCTTCACTGTTAGGTCAAGTGACGGTGTTGGGGCAGGGCACCCTCGGTTACTAGCAACATTCACCTCGAAATGTTTATGGTCTAAGGTGTGGGCACAAATTCAAAATATAAGACTCAAACATCCACTTCATATAATTCTGACCACAACAACCGTGCACATGAACAATAATCGAATATAATAGCTCTACTGTCAAATTGTACAAGCCATTTGTTGTGAATTACGCAATGAAACAATTTAGACAAATATTTGAATTTAAGAGATGTAATGAGTCAAACAACTAGTCAAATTATTTTTTTCTTACACTGACGCTGACTGACAGTGTAAATAATTCTTTAAATGAGGTAGTATACACGTTTAACAATTGCGTAAAAAAATAAATTTTTAAATTTGATTTTTTTCAGATAGTTGGCCATGTGATTAGACTCACCCCTCCTGTAACCATTTAACAGATGTTTACACATTTAATGAGATTTTTGGGATTTCCCAAGAAAAAAAATGTTAAATGACGTCTAATATTGTTGGTTGGATTGGCTACAATAATGTCAAAAATTGGGTGATATGACTCATGTCAAAATTCAAAAGTTTTCTATTCTAGAGCAGCTAGGCTGGACTGATCTAACACAGATAAAAGCCCACAATCACTGAAACAGTTTGAACTCAGTTTCGACCTTAATACCTTGGCCCAAGTCGTGTCTTTACTCTTTCTTTCCATTTCCACTTAAATTGGCAAACTTAACATCTAAATTAACAGGAGAACTCCAAAAGGCGCTAATTTTTGGAGCCTTTTATGGAACTTAAATTCTAAACCCACGTACCCCAATAGATCGTGTCTTTACTATTTACTATGCGACTTCTTCTGTTATTATATTACATCTATCAGCAGCTGGATCAAGTTTTTCTTCACTAATTTGTTTTTTAAGAAAATCAAAACTGTTTGATCATAAGTTAACAATATTCTTGAAAACTTTTTACCTTTCTAAATCTCAAAACAAAAAGGGAATACAAAAAAAAAAACGAGGGAAAAAACAATCAATTCAATTGATCCAGGCTTGGAATTTTAGTCACTTTGGTCTTTGGCATGGTATGAGTATGACCAGTTTCAAACTTAAGTTTGCTACTATATATATTAATGTTTCATTGGTTTCACAAATTACTTCAGCCTTACGTACAATTTAGTAGGATTACGAAATCCAATTCTCATCAAACAAGAGGGGATATTTTAGAGTGGACGCATGCATCAATTGAATGTAAGTTCCATAGAGCACTTCAAAGATGTTGAGATTAAAAAGAAAAAAGAAGGATTAACTCAGTAGTTAAGTGAAATTTTTCTTTGTGGGACCTAAAAATCGTTGCTATTGTGCTGTGTCAGCTAGACATAATTAGTGAATTATACAAAAGGGTTTCATTTCATCACATACATTCCGGTAGTACCATCCTAGGGTGTGCTTAATTAGGATGAACCGAGGAAAGTAGAAATGCTCATGCACTCAAAGGGAGAAGGAGAAGCATATAACTTGAAGATGATCGATCGAAAGCAGAATTTTTTTTTTTCCATTTTTTTCTATGCACTGGTTCAAACTCTGTTGTAGTATTCTCGAACAACTTCAAAATTTATAATTCAGGACAAATTATGAAAGACAACAAAAAAAGAAAGAAAGAAAGGGATATAGATAATAACTAGCCCATCTCCACAACAAAATAATTAAAGCTGAAGTATCTTCAGCCTTCCAAGTACTAGGCCATCTCATATTCTTTTGAGTCATCATCGTCGAAGCAATTCTTCCAGACTGGATGTTTCTTCCAGACTCTTTCCACCATGGAATCAATGGGGATACCTTTGGTCTCAGGCAAGAGGACAATCACAAAAAGGCCCATGACGACAATCCATGCAGAAAAGAAGAAGAATATGTAGGCTTTCATGTGGCACATCATGGACAAGAACATCTGAGCTATGACGAAGGTGAAGAGCATGTTGGAGCTGACTGCAAAGGCAAAGCCTGCTGTTCTTGTTTCCAGTGGGAATGTCTCGCTGGGAATCAACCATCCCAGGGGACCCCATGACC